CCCCGTGTTTCAGCAATATTTGCAGGCATTTCAAAAAATGCTGGGACTTGGGACTCGGGACTCCTGGATTTCATTCTAGTCTCTGGACAAGTGTCTTTGTAGGGGCACAGACTCTTCTGCCCATTTTTAGGCAGAATGCTTATGATTTGTTCATATTTGGCTGGATTTTCATGGCAACGTCTCTCACACAAAAGCCACTCCTATTCCAAAGTTCAAGTCCTTACTTCAAAGCGTGGAACTGCTACAGCTTTTCAAAGGAAGGCTCCTCAGAGTTTAAGATTAGTAAAACAATATATTTTTCCCAGCAGAAGAGTTTCAGCTGAAATTTTAAAAACAAACAAATGCATAAATCACAATTTAGCCTGAAACAGACGCCCAGCATGGACAATTTCAGCCAGAACATTTAAAGTCTGGCAAAGCTGTAAGAGACTGAAAATCGTCTCATCATGTGAACTGTGTGGCATACTTCATATGAGGCGATATTATCAGCTGTAAGTAATCCAAGCTGCGCATATAATTCATAGACATAGATGTTAGGTAAGGAAAAAACCAGTTTTAATAGATCAGTTAGTGCTACGTGCCAGCCTGAATCGAACTATTGAACAAAAACCCCCAAAATCTAGTATCTGCTTCAGCAAATGTCTTAACACTGAAGTTCCCCAAACACAAGTGAATCATTTAGCTACTGTAAGTATATTTAACTGTATGTAGCTGAATTTCCTTGAGACAGACTATTCAGTGACTTTCGAATACAGCACCACTTTGCTGTCTTGCATCCAGTGATTATGCATTGACTTGGTGTGCTAGAAATTTCCCTATCGATCAGACATATGCAATAAGCCAAGGGGACCTTTTTTTTGGCTAGTGACCTTGTAGCATAAAATGACAAAGCAAATTGCAATATTTGTAACTTATAAAATTATCCTATAACCCTTTCAAGTGGATGTCAGCTTGCTATACCCACAAGGAGTTAATCTATCCACAGTACATTATGATCTTTAATAATTGGAAGCGATTGGCCAAAGTGCTGTAAACCTGGCAGAAATTTGTTGCCTTATTTTCTGCAAACCACAAGCACAGCTTATTAATTGAAAAATGAACATTAACTGGCGTTAGCTGGCATCTGTAAACTGAAAAAGAGAAATGACCACGGTACGCATTCAGCTGTAAACGGTAGAGCTGCAAAGCTGCAACAGGTAAAATTGGGTTTTAAGCACGAATGCAAAACCATTTTAGTCGGCTGCTGGCAAATGCCCAAGTCTAGGGTTTTTAATGAGGCTTCTGCATCAAAATAAGTGAAACCACATGGAATTTTAATTGTTCTTATTCTAAATATGAAACACACTGGAGCAGTATTCTTGAATCTAGGATGTTAGCATATATATTGGCATATTAACATTACCACTTTTCTGTTCTAAATGTATGGCTCTCAGAAAACTTGAGTGCCAGGTGACGTTAGGGAGGAATCAACTTGGAAGATTTAAAAACAGTTTAACCTGGGCTCCTTCAGATGTAAAGGTTTTTTTTTTTTTAACTATACTCTTTTTTTTTGGTATTGTCCAGCACGGTGAGCTGATCAGGACGGTGATCTGATCATACTTTGTGGGGAAAGAAGATCACTTGCTGTGCTTGTTGCCGTGTTTCTCTTTCTGGCGGCACAAAATAGTGTCTCTTCCCTTTACAGAAGTGTGGTTTCACAATCATGCGGCCACAATGTAGGGCGGAGGATCTGTGCTTCACCCATTTCATACAAGCTATCACGAGAGTGGGAATTCACAGATGCAAATTGTTTTCTTGCTCTGACGGGGGAAAAATTAGCATAAATCTTTAATCCTGCTGGGGAGAGGAATAAATAAATCATTTACTTGCACCGTCATGTTACTATATTGCTGATCGACATCGCTATTTGTGTGCACCTAGATGTACAAAGATGGGTGCCATACCGAGAAGAGTTATTTATCTTCCCAGTCCAGCAAAGAGCTAGACATATATAAATGAATATGCATCTGGTGTTTGCAAGTTAGAAGCAAAACCAACCTTAACGCAAGGAGGTAGCACAGAGAGAGGAGGAGGGTGAAAATGCATCAGTGAGATTGTATAGCAATGAGGATGGCAAGAAGCCGAATTTTAGAGGTGACCTTTTAAAAAGTTTCTGGACTCACTTAGAAAAGAGGCTTTAGAACAGGCATCCCACAAAACTTTTTCTGATCTCCAAAAATATCTTTACACAGTGGAGATACAGAAGGCTGGGAACAAATCGCAGCCTAGGGCAGGGAGTTAGAGAGACAGCAAAAGGTATTTGGGCAAAAGGGGGGTTGGAGAAGTGAGTGTGCAGGAGCCATGCAGACACAGCCATGAGTGAGATAAGAAAGGGTTATGGTTATTTGGCCTTTGGGTAAATAGGATTGTGCTTTACAAGCAACAGTAAAAACAAACAAGTGTGGATTTACTAGGGTATGCAAGGAGGTCTGTAGCCCCACATTAGAAGTGCCTATGTGTGGTGTGCACATTCCCAGTCATTTGACACAGACATGATCTCTTGGCAGCACCCATACAGATAATATTTGGATCTAGCCCTGAAAGGGAGATTGCCTTTTAATGTGTAAAACTGTGTGGATAGTTTGTTATTAAAAAAAAAAAAAACAAAATTAGTTGCAAAGAAACAAAAAATGCTGATACTCTTCTACACCCTTACACTCATACCAATTCTACCTTTGATTATAAAAACCTTGTTTAGCTTCTACCAGGGTAAACTAAGAGCAACTCTGTTCATGTTGGGAGAGTTGCAATAACAATGAAAAAAAAAGGAATATAAGCAGTAGCACATTGAAACTCAGTATTTTGAGCAGCTGGGGAAATTATGTTCTAACCTTATATTTCCAGATACGTATCAGACCTGTTCACAATATAAAGGATAGTGTTCCAAAATTACAGCTTTGAATCTGGGTGGTATCACCTCTGGCTATTGTTTGCAGTTGGGAAAGAAAGAAGTTGCATCAAGTAGTAGAGTGTTTGCTGTAAAGGTACAAGTTATATTACATTCCACGGTGCTGTGGTTGGAGGGGTTGATGATGGAGACAGACCCATTCACCCGTAGGTCACTGATTCGGTTCCAGATAAAGATAATAGTAATCACATTGTCATCAGAGTTAAAAATGGGCTTTTACTGCCCATTTAAAGCCCTGTACCCAATATCTTTTGAGACAGTGGATTATAAACCCCGGGTTTCAGGCTGCATGAGTTGGACGCTTGGCTGGCTGCGGCCCAGGTCCTTCAGCCTGAACCCAAGCTGTGCCTGAGCTTTGCCCCCTGCTGCTTTTAGGTATTGTCTGATACTATATTGAAGGCGTGGGTTAAATGAGCAGGTAGAATAGGAGAAAATAGTGATCTAAATCAAAAAATGTGCCACACAAGGTGGCAGGGTCTGTTGAGTCTGTGGCTTACGGTAGCAACCACCATTGTGGGTGCTACAGGGGACCAAGGGCAGAAGGGCTGGAGGGACCTTCCTTCTACACAGCAGTGTTGGCAAGTCAGATCCAAACCCTATCTACAAGGAAAAGCGTTGCTGCGTCTTACACTGAGGATACACAGGGTGTTTCAGTGTTTAGCACGTCAGTTTGGCATCTCAAAGATGCCGTATTTTCCCTTTAGGTAAATCAGATTTGGTAGATTGGCAAAGAGATGGGTGAACCCTTGGATCTAGAGGACTGTAAAGCTGTAGAAGTGTTGGCTGGGAAGCACAGGGAGAGCCCATTTGATTTCGTTGTTTTTCCCCTTTATTTATACCCCGCTCTTTCCAGCTCTCTCTTTCTAAAAATGTACATATGTATCTACTGCATACTGGCCGATGCATTTCCCTCCCTCTTGCACTGTACTTCTACATTAGGCTTTTTCTCTTCCCCCTTGTCCCTTTTCCCACACCCTTTCTGTTTTCCACTTTTCTGGCTCTCAGCGCGAGCTTTCACCATCTTTTTCTTCTGCTCCTGTCCATCCCACAGTCTCCTAAGCAGATCACCAAGCTACTAACGTTTGCTTTCCAGTTCTGCTCCAAAACTCTGGGCATTTGATGTGGGATTAGAAATTAGGCAAAATGAGTTTACCCATCCCTGTTTTGTGTTAGACTCCAATTCACAGCGTTACCATCCAGACGTTCACAGTAGCCATAAACTGTGTGGTCTTTTTTTTTCAACCAGACTGCACAGACTACATAGGAAAACAACTTCTTTCAATGGCAAGAAGTGTGTTGGGCTTGTAATTTTCCATCGACTGCACTGAAAAGTAAAATTTACATCTTTGCTATCAGCTCAGTGGCTTTGCCCATCTTTCAGATGCGGCAAATAATATTTTTCTTCCATAGGAAGTAGCTGAGCAGATCCTCACCTAAATAAATTGATTTAAGGCAAGAAGTGGGGCTTAGTCACCCCCGGTGTAACTCCCCTGGTGTCAGTGGTGCAACTAACTCCGTGTTGCCAACTCTTGTAGTCTTATTACAAGTTGCACAGTAATTTCTGCTTTTCTCGAAACCCCAGCTCCCCACGGCATGTGCTGAGGTGGGAATCTCAGCTTTCGTGTGCAACCAGACCTGAGTTTCTCGAGAGCAAAATAGCAAAAACCCAGACACGTAACCCTCAAAGCTCAGAAACCAGAAGGCAAGTCAACTCCAAATCCACCTTTCTCTTTTTGGTTCTTTTTCAATCTCTTGATTTTTGAGATTCTTTTTTTTGCTGGCCTGACTTGTGACCTTTGAACGCTTCAGGTTGGCAATGCTGCTCCCGCCATTGGCATCAGTGGAGTTAGACCAGGGATGAGTTTGGCCCAGCGCTTGTAGAAGACAGGTGTATGAATCTGTTCCTTGCAATGTATTATTTAATATGATCTACTGTTCTCTTGGGGGCCAAAAGAAGTGGGTTTTCTTAGAAAAATAAAATTCTATCATCACTTGATACAAAAAATGGTATTTACAGAATTGTTTTCCCCCGTCTTTTGTTATAATTTTTTAGGTGCTTCAGAGCTGGGCCCATTTTCAGATCCCAGGCAGTTCACAAGCATTTCATCCCTCACTGAGAGCCGCTTCTCCAACCCACGAATGCACTATCCAGCCACCTTTACCTATACACCGCCAGTCACCTCAGGCATGTCACTGGGTATGTCCGCAACCACTCACTACCACACCTACCTACCACCACCCTACCCCGGCTCTTCCCAAAACCAAAGTGGACCTTTCCAGACCAGCAGCACTCCATATCTCTACTATGGCACTTCGTCAGGATCATACCAGTTCCCCATGGTGCCGGGAGGGGACCGCTCCCCCTCCAGGATGCTTCCTCCGTGCACCACCACGTCCAACGGCAGCACGCTGTTAAACCCTAACTTGCCCAACCAGAGTGACGGTGTGGAGGCGGATGGCAGCCACAGCAGCTCCCCAACCGTCTTGAATTCTAGTGGCAGAATGGATGAGTCCGTTTGGAGGCCGTACTGAGATTTCTTCTGTAGCCGGCCCGACCTCCGTGAGCCAAAAAAAAACCAAAAAACCAAACAAACGGTCGACTAACTACGAAGTGCCTGTTTTTTGTGTTTTTTTTTTTTTAAAAAAAATAGATTTTACCAATATGTGCAACTGTGTAGATGGGGTGATAATGGCCATAAATAACACAAAAGTTACCAACACACCACAACCCATGTTTCAGATTATGTGGATCAAAGCACATATTTTTTTTTTTTCTTGGAACCATTTTACTTTGTTTTATATTTAAAATGTACTTTTTACACACACACAAAAAAATCACCCCTCCTTTTTTTTTCTTTTTTTTTTTTTTGGTCTAGAGTGTTGTAATAACTAGTGAGTTCTTTTGCCAATGAGGAGAGAACGGACTCCCCAGCTATCAGGAGAAACATGGTGATGCAAGGCAAAGGCTGCATTCCCTTTTATTTTTTAATTAAAAAAACGTAACCATGAACTCCAGCTACAGTTGCAATCATACAACGTATGGGACCCTCTTCACACCCGTAGTGCAATTCAACTGGCTTGTATTGGTGCACATAAAAAGGAAAGCAAAGATCGAGTTGCTTCCATTTTGCCATGATACATTCAGATGAAAACAGCTGTCCCAAAAAAACTCTGTCCGAGCCTTGCTGCAGATAACGGTTGAACTTCTCTGTGTTCATTGCTTTTTTGGTTTGGTTTTGGGTACTTAAAGAGAACGAGTCTTCAAGTTAGGGTAGACAACCCTGGGGTTTCCTTTTTGCTTTTGTATTCGTTCGTTTTGCCTTCGATTAGCCAAAAACCAAAAATAACAACCAAAACCTTTAAAAACAAAAAACAAAATGTTATTACTTATGCAAAATAAGAAAATGGCAATATATATTACTAGAGCCAAAATGGTATACATAGTATTTGTGTTCGGCTATGTTCTTTTTTATTTTTTTTTTAAATTATAAATGTGTAAAATTTGAGGTTGTTTGCTAACATGAATCATCATATAACTTTAAAAGAATATTTATAATTATTTAATGACATTTGGACCCTTTAAACGTTTCTTAATGTAATGATATATTGACTTCGGTCTCTAAAAGTGGTTTTGTTTTTTTTTTTTTTACTTATTACATTTCTGCAATGGTGTAAACCTCAAACCTTTACCCAACTCTGAAAAGCAGTTCCAGTGTGAACCAGTTTACAATGTGACTTAAAAACGACAAACCCAACCCAAATGCATCCACATCAAATGATTTTGGATGTAGGAACTTTTTATATAACTTATGAAGGAAATATTGTGCTTAAAATATTTTTATTAGCTGTCTGGTTGCCTTCAACACAGTCTTGCCTTTTAATCAGTAGTTGTGGAGACACTGGAAAAATGGTAGGAAGGATGAAATATTTTCCACCCTTCCCCTAATTTCTTCTTCTCCCAGGATTTTTCTCAGAACTTCATAATTTGAAAATATTCATATTTAAAATATTCTGTTTTGACAGCATAATTTGAATTTCGACAGGGTTTTTTTTCCCCAAAGAAAAATCAAAACCGTTTCAAAGCCCATATTTTATAAATAATGAATTGTTAATTATCTCAGAACTGGGATTAAGGGAGTACTGGTGAAACTTTTTCCCCTCCCCTTGCAATTTCAGCCCACTCGATGGAATAAAAAGGTTCAAAACTTGAGACAGAAACTGCCTGGTAGCGCATCACCGCCCATTAGCATTAAATGCTAGAGCCGTAAGGATGCTGTGTTGACTTTGAAGCTGTTGCCATATTAGAGACAAGCACAAGGGCAACAATACTCACCTCCGCAAACGCTGAAGATATAAAAAATCACCTTAAAAGCCACCCTGGGGCTCCCAGGCACAATACAGGGAGAGCAAACTGCACCCAAAACCCTTAACCAACCTGTCTGCCGCCAAACAGCGGAGGGGCCCAAATTTTGCCCAGCCCAGGGCTGCTACGGCAAATGGGGAGGTGACGCCGTGCTATCCCCATGCAGGTGATGTTAAGCCTGGTTTAGCGGGATGTTCAGCACGTGCTGGTGGAGTTTGTCGGCGCTCCCTCCTTTCCCTGCCTTAGCCATCGCCGTCCACAGCCTCCTTGGGGGGCTGCCGGCCGCCACGCCGCTCCGTGGCCGTACAGTGGCTACCTCCAAAGTATCGCAATAACTCAACAGTGGGCATAGCCATACAGAGCTGGACAACGCCATCACCGCTCGTTAATAGCGAAGCTGTTCAACGAGTTGACATTAGCATGCTACATCCCTCTGATTCGCGTGATGACGCGCTCTTAAAAAAAAAATTAAATAAAGTCTTTGCCTTCTAAAGGTTGTATACCAAGTATGCTTAAAGTATAAGTAAGACACTTTTTTTTTCTTCTAATACTTAGTTTTCCTTCAAAGATGGAAGCTGTAATTGATTCTATTTATTGTTGGTTTGTGGTAGCTTGAAGCATACCACTGTCCATTTATTTGTAACTGTAAAATACGTTTGTTAGTCTCAGCAGCACTTAAAAAGCCAGTGTCTGGTTACACATTTCAGTTTTGTTTTTTGTTTAGTAAGCAAGAGAAAAAGATGTACTGCCAGTGCAAGCTGTTTCCTATTTAATAAAAGGTACTATATTTGTACATTATTTGTTATTGCTGAGAAGGGCTTTTTAAGGTTTACTGTATGCATATTAAGTAATTTTTAGGGTGCTTTTGTGTTGAAATGTTGTTAAGAGTGGCTGCAGGCAGCAACCCAGATTTTTTTTTTTTTTTAAGACTTTGTTGTAAAATTCAAGCACTTGGTTTTTGTTTCTGGATAAATCCAGCACAGACCAGACTTTTGTTTTGCTCAGTACCGACAGGACTCTGTTTGTGTCCCCGCGGTTTTTCAACTGGACCATTAGGGACAGACGTTGAAAACGTTTTCTCCACCCGGTCGAGGCGCACGTGCCCGATCCATGCCCTCGGCTTCCCTGGCCGTGCGGGCAGGCGTCTGCCTCTGCCTGCTTGAGATAGGAAGGCAAGGATTTTCTAAGTACCTATGGACGGAGGAGCACCAGCCCCTTGACTTTCAGTAGTTCCCCGTGCTCCTGAACCCTCCTGGTGCCTTTGGAAAATCCCTCCCGGTACGTCAGGCTGGTCACAGAGGGAGTTGTACAGGCTGAGGCAGAAATGCTCATCAAAGCTGTCAGGAAATGCTTCCGAGTTCACTTGGAAATGCTCTTGAATCAGGATTTCAGACCAAAATAAACCGCAACCGGCGCTATGTAGTTCATCATATCAGATTATTTGACATTTTGTGAGGTGCCTAGCATCGACAGAAAGGAGTTTTCTCAAAGGTACGAGAGCCCTTCCCTTTGGTGAGTGGCAATCTTTGGCGCCGGTCATAGATTTAAAGATTAAAAAAAATGGCCTTTTTTCACTTTCCACCTCTCTTATTCTACCAAAGATTTACTTCCAGCACAACAGGCACGATGTCCCTTTTGTCAAATGGAGGGTTAAATCCTCCTCTCCCTCCTCCTAAGGGTAACCAGATCGGGGTCAGCGGGTTGGGACGGATGAGTAAAGCAAATTATTTAACCCACAGCATCATTCGTGTGGCGTTTATCGTTTCTTTTAAAAGACCAGCTGCTGTGTCTATCTTAGCATTGAACTTTTTTGCCAGCAGTCCCCTGAGCAAAGATTTACCGGTTTCCACAGGTACCATCTCGAGTGGGGAAAATTTTGCACTTTCACACTTAGCAAAGCGAAGCTCAGCCCCGCACCGGGCTGCAGGCGGCCAACAAGCCATGAGCAAAAGCAATAATTAAAACCTGGATCATCCATGAGCTCAAAGAAGCCCCATTCTCTGAACCCCTGAATTTCTTGTTGTTTTTAAATAGAATGCATTTCATTTTAACATTTTCTGAGAACTTTTTTAGATGTTTGTTTACTTCCATGTTTACAGATAACTCTTTGCTTTTTTTTTAATGCAGTACTTCTAAGTATATCAGCCAAAACCATACTTTTACAGTAACTTTTGTTTTAGGTAATATGAGCGACATTCCAATCTTTTTTTGTTGTTAAATATGCTTTACCAGTCTTGAATTCCGCTGGAACAAAATATTTGTAGCATTTTGTGTAAATACAAGCTTTAATTTTTTATTTTTTCAAATGCTGTCACCCAAGATTTGCTTTTCATGCACATATTGTACAAACACACTCTGCTTTATGCCACAGACGATGATTGTGGATCAGTTTACTTCAACTTCAAAGGGACTATTTGTATTGTATGTTGCAACTGTAAATTGAATTGTTTGGCATTTTCTCATGATTGTAATATTAATTTGAAGTTTGAATTTCATTTTCAATAAAATGGCTTTTTTTTTTTTTTGTTAATGTTCTTCTACGCTTCTTTTTCTTCCGCTGTCTCCTCTTAGCACCAGGCAGGGTAAAGTAAGTACACGGTAGGACACAGTGCCGGCCCTTCCGTGGGGACCCCATCGATTTCTGCAGCACTTAAGTTTTCCATTAAATATAAAAAACACATTTCTAGGCCTATGGGTGATAAAGGACACCTTCTAAATCTGATCTCAAATGTTGCTTCTTTTCCTGAGTCTGCAAGCTATCAACACCTGTGTTTCTTAGAGGAGTGCAAACTGCTCCATTCATCTTGCTAGATCGTTGACTCTGAAACCTAACAACTGACATTAGCTGGGACATTCTGGTGCTATGGTGCTGTGGGTAGAGCTTGGAGTACAGGAAAAGCTGGGAGAGATTTCCAAACTGGGGGGGAGGGATTGGGGTTTATGGTGCTTTTCCAGGATGGGGGTTGCTCTATCCCCACCTCTTCCTGGTCAGACCTGAGGAATGCAGTTACAGATAATCTTGTGATTTGCATGGCCTGAGGCAAGAATAGTTTCCAAGCAGCAAAAGATATATGGATAGGGAGGAGACTGGGGGAGGAGGCTATTTTTCCTCCAGCCTAGTGTCAGGGGTAGGAGGAGATGTAGCTAATGAAGGTGAGGTTAAGTTCAC